CAACAAAACTAAGGACTAGTCAAGGCTGTAAGGGATGGGTTAGGAAAAGATTAATACTAACAGTAAGAAATGCTACACTAAAGTATTCCTGCAAAGGAAAAGCCTTCAATTAAGATAAAGGCATAATTTCTGTGTTATTCTAACATGAAATAGTTAATATTGCTTTAAAAATCCTGGACATTTTGAAATATCTGACAAGAGATGAAAGAAGTAACATGTAGAGGTAAATTTTTATCTTTGATGACCTGTCATGAAATGTATTGAGTACCAGCTGCTGTGAATTTAATTTCAAAGTTGTTTTTGACAGCTTATTCCAATTATATCCTTATTGAAAGGCTAGATTTTTGGTAGATTGACAAGTTTCCTTTTTATTTTTACCTTCTAATGAGCAAAACAATCTGTTACAGTATATTGATCCAGCTTATTTATTTCTGGATATTTAAAATATGGTCTGTTGTCCTTCTCTTCAGATACTCTTACCACCTGCAGTACATCAATAAATATACTTGCATTTTCAAAAATAGGTCAGGGCAAAGGTCACTTTTAAGGAATTAGTGCTTTTTCTGTGAAATGCAATTCCATTAAGAGCAATGGGCTTGTATTACTTCGAGAGAGGATTGAAGTATTTGAATGTGTATTTACACAGACACACTAAGGGTCATTAGCCCCTTCCAGAAACAAAATAGAGCCTCCTTAACCAGCATGGATTATGAGTAACATTTAGATACTATCAGCATCTGTTGGCCTGGTTCTGACCAGTGCACCAGGACCTGATTGAGGATATTGCAGTGGCAGAGTCATCCTGTGAGAGTGATTGTAACACGTGCAGAGTGTGGGAGCAGCAAAGACAGTCCCTGCATCCACCCAGGTTCAGGAGGGCCACCATCCACACAGGAGAGCTTCTCAAAGGATGGGAGGCAACAGCCAAACTAGTAGCAGGGAACATTTTGAATGAGGCAAAGAAATCTTTACTAAAGCAGGTTTAGACACCACCCAGAGAAGTGACAGAATCACCATCCTTGGAAGTTTTTAAAACTGCCTGGAATAAAGGCTTGGCCAACCTGATCTAACTTTGCAGTTAGCTCTGCTTGGAGCAGGTGGCTACAAGAGGAGCTTCCAGCCTAAACCCTTCTCTGAGTCTATGATTTTTTTAAAAAGAAGCTGTCAATTAAATAAACCACTCTCCCAGGCAGCAGAGAGAGCATTCTGATCTTCCATCACATTGGAAATCCAGAATACAATAACTCCACTTACTGGGGAGAACTTCAGAAAGGCCAGAAAGGAACTAGAATGGTTCAATGTTGGTGTAAAAGAAACAAGAGCAAGAACCATTACAATCCTTCAGTAATGAGGAAGGATGATCAGTAATGAGGAAGGATGATCAATACTGACGGGTTAAATGTAAAAGCATCCTAGGCATGAAAACTAAGAATAAATCCTTTTTAAATGCTTCAGGAGATGAAAGGCAGAGACACAATCAGCAGAAATATTAAGAAAAGAGGATACAGAAGAGACAGAGAAAAAAATAACTCAGCTGTAGAAAAAGTGCTTATCACCAGTTTATTTTCTACCATTTCCAATTTACAGGATACATGAAGGATCAATATATTGTAAGATGAAACCAATTCAGAGATACACAATTCTTCTAAAGTTTAAGACGGGATGCTGCAAATGAACGAGCAAAAAAATTCCCAGAATAAAAAATTCATGAGGTTAAAAGAAGGACTTAATCCTGAGATAACAAAACAACAATGTGCCAGATTTTGATTGATGGTATAATTGATGGAGCACAGCTGATCTGGGTCATTCAGCAATGGGGATTGGGTCTCAACTTTGTTGATATTAGTTACATTATATTTTCATTTAACTTGCTTTTCCTTTTAGTTTAATAGTGGTGCAAGGTATTAATGCTATTACAGCTAAAGTAGAATCCTAATGAGATGAATCAGATTATGGCCATAATAAGAATTTCCACCTGTGTGAGCGTTTGAATGTCCGTTCTGTGAACCAAGAATGGAGATTTCAAATATACACCTGTGGTTTTTCATACCACACATGAAAGTGCACACATGTACATGGAACATCATTAATACTGCAAGACTGCATTACTAAACATTCTAACAGTAAGGACATTCTAAACAGTCAGGATATATTTCTACAGTAATTGTGTCCTTGTTTGTTTATCTCGTAGTCTGAATGTTAAAAAGGGAAAGGGAATAATAACTCAACTTATCCTTTTTTTTTTTTTTCCTTGTAAGCATGTTAATAGAGTACTTACTTCCTATTTTCAAGGATCAAAAGAAGGACAGAATAATGCAAGGTAAGGTGGTAAGACTCTTGGGGACCCACGAAGACCAAAACAGTTGTAATACATAAGAAATAAATTCTATATGCATGGTAGAAGCACATTTTTGTTTATTCTTATGGGATAATGCGGATGCATACTTTAGTAGTATGTAATATAGATTAGATTTATTGATAATTCTTAAAAGCATGCAGCATTTTTCATCTGTTCAAATAATGGAACAGAATCAGAAAAGCATAAGGGTTTCACCATATGCTTTGATGATGAGAAATAGTGAACACATTCAGCTCCCATTTAACTTTAGGATGGTTGATCAGAGTTTAAAAACTTTATACTATGGACAAGGAGATTACAATGTTAAAGTTGATGTAGTTTATTTAAAAAAAAATAGTATAGCTTCATCTAATACACCTCCTTTCCCCTCCCCAAATATCAAAAATCTGTGAACCCTTACCCATATCTTCAAAAACTATTGGGAAAGATAAACCAGATAATATCATTATTTTTTAAATATCATAAATTACATAAAAATCAGATGGTTTTGTGGTGGTTTTTGCAATTATATGCCTAAATATTTCTGACAGATGGTTGTTCAGCTTGAAATACTTTCTAGTAACTTCCCTGTACATGGTAGATGATTCTATCATCAGGTACTCATCCTTCATTTCCAATTTTCAGCGTTCAAAGATGAGCACAAAAATCCCAGATTATATTTCCCCCTTTTTTTTGCTATTTGTTATTCTAAGTGAGTTTATTTTGCTTTTTGAGGGGAAAAATAAAAAGTTAATGTAAGTTCAGGCATTCTTTATCCCAAAGTAATTCTGTTATTTTTGAAGAAGCAGAAGAGTGCACACAGACCCCTATTAAAGGAGATGGAATATAGAGTATTTTGCAGTTCATTGCTGGAAGAGAGTGCACTAAAAATCCATTTGGGTAATTGAATATAGTGCTAGAATGTAGCTAAGCGTCTTTAGACCCCTTCCAACAAAAACACAGGTCTGGTTATATACTTATACAAATTCTATCAGCGTTTAAAAATGCCAGCCAATGTTTCATCCCACTGCTAGAAAGGTTTTCTGCACTGCAATCTAAATTTCTCTTATTTTATTGTGATTTCATTATCTTTATCCCTAATAATGTTTCTCTTTTTTGGTGTTAATGTGTTTTAACTACTTACAGAATAAAGTCATGGGTTTTAAACAAGAGGTACAGGCTGCTATTGCTTTACTTTGTCAAGTATCTTCTCAGAATTGAGATCAATTTGACTCTCTGCTTTCAAATCTCTCCAGGATGTCAATACTGGGTAACAGAAACAGCCAAACAAGATTGCACATGGAATCTTTGTTGCTTAACAATCACTTAGAGTGCCTATCCTTTTCCTGGTGTGAGATGTTGTTCTTCTTCATGTGCCAAACAAAACTTGGCAAAACACTCTGCACTCTTTCTAATTTATTGTCATTGCCTAGTCTCTTTCAGACCTCATATTGCTGAAAGGCAAGGATACTTGGGCAAAGTCAATTTAACCCTCTCTTCTTGTTGTGCAGCTCAGGGGGAAAATAACCATCTGCAGGAACAACTTGGAAGGACTCCCAGTGTGATAAACTGAGAATAGCAATTGTTTGTGAACAGCCACAGTGCCTTGTTATAATTTTTATTCACCACTCAGTCAGGTAGCATTCTAAATTCTTTTTTAAATTGACAAGTTTCATTTGAAGAGAGATAAGAGTATTCTCTAATCATGTGCAATTTGCCACTGTCTTTATTGGCTCTTTCACTTATTTATATCAAGAAGTACCATCCTCCTCCTGTCTCCAAACGGAAAATTATGCAAAGGAAAAAGAGACTGAGGAGAAAAAGATATAACAAATAAACAAATAAAACTAGAAGGAGGGATAGAAAATGAAATTAAAGGAAAGGAGAGGAGTCAAAAAAGTATAGCTGAAAAAATAGCAGGGGAGTGTATCACCCTTGTCCTAAAAGTCTTGCATTCTCTTGAATTTGCTTTAATATTATTTACTGAGCTTGCCATCTGTTCACAGATACTGATGAGGGCTTCTGCCAGCTCTAGGGCAACACTAAATTGTAGTGTTAATGGATCAAAGCAAAATTTTTGACTGCACAGATTGACAGTACTGAACAAACTCTCATTAATACCTTTTGAAAACATCCGTATGAATCACATACTTGTGATTTATTTGTGCTTAACCTACTTCTGAAACGAGAACTACTAATGTTCTTCTAGATCACAGGTACAGTGAGAAGAGGCAGAGGGCCTATCATTCCTGGTAGGCATTTTACCTGTCCAGGGCTCTGGTGATGCCTCTCCACATGCATGCTCATCATGCTTTCTCAGGATCAGCACCATTCATTGTCATGCTTGCAATACTTAGGGTACCTTGCCCAAACAGCCTTCCTTCTAGCCCTCTCATCCTCCTTCCAAACTGCCCCAATCTCTTCAATGTTAATTTGTTGTGGCACCTTTGGGGATGGATAGTAGGTGCAGGAATGGAGATCAGGGAGACTGATCATTCCAATTCACTGAAGTGAAAAAGTTCTGCTGTGCTACAGGTACAAACAGGTTTTGGACTAGCAATTTAAGTAATTAAATTGAACTTCTTATCTCCCTGAAAACAATACCTAAAGAGTTTCCTTATGAAAAATCTAATAATGGTTTTACAACTTTCCTTCTGGCAGCTGCTCACTGTGTGCCAGTAAATTCCTCCTCTTGCAATGCATTGCAAGGCAGAATTTGCCAGCTGCGCTGGAATGATGTACAGTGGTGTTCCATGGAAATGAAGAGTGCACTGTTTTTTGGCAGTGCTGTGGACAGCTGAGAAGTGCATTCAGCACTGATGTGGTGGCTCTGGAAAGGTTCTACATTTGGACAACACCCTCAGGCACACAGTGTGATTCTTGGGATGTCTTGTGCAGGGCCAGGAGCTGGATTTAATTATCCTGGTGGGTTCCTTCTGACTCAGCATATTCTAATCAATGATTCTATGATACATCTGGATCCAAGGTTCTCATTTTACCTGATGTAGAATGCCTATGGAACGCCTCTGTGGACCTGTCAAGTGTTAAGTCTAATTACACTGAGATGAACTGCAATTAGGAAGTGGGGAGCAGGTACCAAATCCTGCCTGGTTTGGGCAAATCCATTAATCACTACAGAAGGCAGAATCTCAAGTTACTTCTTTGCCCTTCTCCTTTGCAGACATCTTCTAAAATAGACTAAGGTATTCCTAAGGTATTCCTCTATTGATACGAGCAATTTTGAATTCTTTTAGGTGTGTGCTCAAGACTTACTAAAATTTTTGAATGACTGTTTGTCCGGTCCTTTTCACTAAAGCTTCTATGACAGATGATGGGAAATACCCAGTGGACAATGATAACCCTTGTTGTTCTGGTTGTTTTATCTTATAATGTGCTGCTAATTTTGTGATAGGAATGTCCAAGAAATGTCAAGGGAGTATCTTCACTGTCCAGTGTAAAACACTTCATTCATAAAGTTATGGCTTTTCTCTCTGATGGGTGATACAAAATTTTTGTTTCGCATCTGTATCTGTTTTATCAGTTAGACGCTGCTCCTGGACTTCTAAATTGTTTCATACTTCACAGGAAGGAGATGTGCATTAAAGGCCCATTTCAACAGTAATAAAAATAGAATCTAATATGGAACAACATATTACAAGTGAAGACATCTGTTCACATTATTATGAGAGTCTCAGTCCAATTACATTCACTATAAATTATGGAAGAACAATTGAGATAAAAATGTGCATATTATTGTTTCAGAGCTTCAGGCTGAGTTGAAGATGAGGGCTCCATGCATCCTGAATTCTGAAAGCATTCTCTGAGATCCCACAATCCAGACTCACTGCAATAACATAAGAAATTATATTCAAAAGAAGGTTAAACACAACTTGGAAAATATATTTAAACATTGGTTGGCAAAAAAAAAAAAACAGGTTTTAAAAGTCTAGGATTTAAACAGTGTCTCTAAAAACAAGAAACTGTGTTGTGTCATGTCATACTGTCCTAGACAGATACTCTTCCCATAGAATATTTACCTTCTTTTAAAATTGGTAGTTAATTTATATAGAAATCAGGAATATTCAATGTAATTCCATTCTTTGATGCAGCCATATCACTGGTGAATTTAACCTACTATTTTAAAAAAATTATTTCTAAATATCAAGATGAGAAAGGATTCTATTTTTTCTGCAGGCATCAGCAGGATCATAGGACTATAGAACTTTATAGGTTTGAAGGGACCCATAAGGATCATCTTGCCCAAACTCTACCTCTAGACAGAACCAACTTAGCTCACATTATTCAGGGCATTGACCAGTTAGTTACATTTTAAATAATTCTGAAGCTTGACATTTAACGAAGTCTCTCAGCAATCTCATTAATTTTATTTTTCCCCCTAACAATTAATTAGAATTTCACACTTTGTAATGTCTGTCCATTTCCTCTCACCCTATCATTTTTTATCCCTAAAAACATCTGTCTCTATTTTTCCTAAACCTTCTCCTTTAGTAGTCGAAGAAAGCAACAAGATCCTTCTCTTATCCTTCCCATAAATAGTAATGGAGTTGCAAAACTGGGGGCAGTTGTCTTGATACAATTTCAGCAGTGTTGAGTAGAGAGGGGAAAACACTTCTCTACCTGCTGGCTTTACTCTTGCTTATGCAGTTTCAATATTCTTTGTGCTTTATCACAGGGCTGCACAACTCATCATGTTGTATTCCTGAAAATCCCCAAGTCCTTTCTAACAGTAAATGACATCGATGAAGGGGAACTGTTTAAGGCTGGCATCATCCCAGCATTATTTCTTAAAAAAATAATTAATAAACAGGAAGAGTATGAGATGGGTCCACTGTTAAACACATTCAGCAATTTATTAAAACAGATTGCTGTTGATTTCCTTCATGTTATTGCCACAACTTCAGTGTGTCACAATCTATTAATACTAATAACCTGTAATTGTTCAAGCACAAGAACGTGAAATGTAGTCTGTATCTACTCTGCAAATGAAAACTACATTTGCTGGCTGCCTTCAGTGACTCTCTCTGGTCAGCCACTGGAAGCTGTCAGGCTGCTCTAGTATTCTGCTGTGTGAGCACCATCTCTTCACCCTTCCTGATGTGAGTGTAGGTTACTTGTCCGTGTGCTGCAATTAGACACAGGAAGTTCATGGACAAAAATTCCTGCTGGCTTTCCTAACTTCTGATGGGATTCCATATCTCACATGCTGTTTGCTATTGTGATAGGAAGGCACAAGCGGGAAAGAAAATACGCGTGTTCCGCATCTTGACACAAACCTGGAAAACACTTGAAATCTCTAACAATTGGCAACAAAATGGGAATAACAGTGATTGGACAGCAAGGCAGGACATAGGTGAGAAACAGTGGTTCATGCTTTGGAGGTTATATATATACACATATATTTAATATATAACCTCCGTATAGAGAGTATCTGGATTTCAATAGCTTGTCAGATTCTTCTTTCTCATTTCAGCACACTGAGTCTGAACCTTTTGGTTTCCAGGAACACTACAAGGGTCCCAGATTTCTGCAAAGAATGAAAGTTACACACAGGACGATGAACTTGTGTGTGTCAGGGTAGGTTAACAGCTTGGAATGATTATGTCCTTAATTTAGTAGTGCAAGTACAGAAAATTACTTGCTTTTCATCCAGAAAATGAAAACTAAACTGGGTAAAGCATATCCACCACAGAACCATCTACTTGGGTATCACCCAAGTTTTCTTCTCCCTTCCATAGATTTGCTGATGGAGAGCTAATACTTAGATTAAAAAATAGGTATTTTCAGACCACTATAGGTATCCAGAATTATTTTATAAACATATCCATGGAATACAGTTGTTTACTGTAATTGTTATTGTCATGGATGGCATGTACAGGTCTTACATTTTATCTTGCCAAGCTCTTCTACTTCTTCCTTTCTAACACAGAAAACCAAGCAATTTTAGTCCACCTTTCTATTGCTTTGATCTATTGCAGTAATCACTGCTTTTCTTTTACAATGGATAAATAATGGTTATTTTTCCTTTTATTCATGGCCTAATTTATTTTCCCCGTCCCTCTCTGCATGTCATTCTTTCTAAAGTGCTCATATCCTTCCTTTTAGAACTCATTCACCACCCCCTGGATGCAGATCTAGTCTGGTTTTCTTTGCATGCCCTGGTCTCTGAGCTCCTGTTACGAGAAATTTCTTTTAGTGATGGGGTACCACATTGGTCAGAACCTTGGGGCAGATCTGTTGTAATTTTTTTAAAATAAACCCTACCAAAAATATCCAAAGATCTTTCTAAATCTAGAGTTAGATCTCATGAGAACACAAACTGGGTTTTATTTTGCTAATAATAAAAATTCATGAGATAATTCATAGATAATTCAGAACAGCCATAAGCAACTGTTGTAAACAACTTTATCTGTGGTGATTGTCCAGGCAAAGTTATGTCAGATATTACGGTTATAGCAGATACCTCACTGGAAATGTGTGCAAAGACTAGTGCAGTACTTGCTGCTCCTTTCTTCAGGAAAACAACCAAGAAAAAAAAAAAGAAAACCAAACCAAAACCTACCCAAAACAAAATAAACCCATATCCATCTTCAAAAAGTATTTTTCTGATTCTAAGCAAAAATAGTCCAAAGCCCTGAGAAAGAGAAATTACTCTGCACAAGATTCAGATACATTTTGTAATGCATGAAATGAACTGCATGCATACCCAGATTGTCCTTTTGGAGAAGATACGACAACAATATCTAGATTTTTTGTGTGACCTTGGTTTTTGACTATCATCTTATAAAAACAAGTTCAAGGATGTCCTGGTAGGAACTGGAGATTGTTCCTTCCCTAGGGAAGAACTGGGTGTGCTTATGGTGTGGCATTCAGGAGAAATAAATGACAGCATGGAGGCAGAAGTCTACAGCCAAAGAGAAATCTGAACATCTTTGTGCTTTTCTTAATAGATCTGAGGGAACCTTCTCCTGACTTGCATGCACGGCATAGTCTGAGGTTTTCTTTCACATTTGCTATAAAAAGTGGCTGACTTCTCATGTGCATTTAAACATTTATTTTGCTGCTTCTCTCTATACATCAGCCATTGTTTGTCAGAAATGACGACTTCACTGAGGTAAATGTGCTACCCATTGTTCAAATACACTAAATATGCGCTAAATAGATTTGCATCTATCAGCAACATTTTCACCCATTTCCATGGTGTTTCAGGAACTTCTTTTCTACCTGAATCCAAATATTTGATCCAGTATGTGTCAAATTAGGGAAGTAGAATAATCCAAAATATTCTCTGGGAACATCTGTCCTATCAAGTAATTTAAGGGTTTTCCCCATGCCAGTTCCTTGGTTGTTCAAAGTACACACACACATGTAGTTTTATTTGTTCCTGAGCACCATCTCAGAGTAAGCCCAATTAGTTTTCTCTGCAAAAAATGCAAACGCAGTTCCTATCACTACTTGAAACAGGAAATATGGGTAAGTGCACAGCAGAACTGGGTCTTTCTCCCAGACTCAACCATCTTGACACGAGGACCTATGGCACAGAGTGCATGGGCACACATTATGCCAATGCTACAGAAACACCCCTCCTGGTGGGCTGTGACAGAGTCCTTCACGGTGTCCCAAAATCTTTGAATGAAAAGCCCTCAACACCTAGTAGCTGTGTCCTGGGGCCATGGGCTTGCCCTGAGGCTGAGCCTCCTTTGCTCAACAAAGCCTGTGTGGTTCAAGCAGCCATTCCTCTTGCTCTCAGCTGCATGGAGCCAGCCTCGCTCAGTTCCACTTCCCCAAGCCAGGCTGGGCAGCAAGGGGAAATGAATGGGCATTAGAAGCACGCGTGAAGGACAATGTCATGGGTTTAGGCAGTAAACACTAAGCCATTTAAATATTACAGCTACTGGGAGGCTGCTATAAGGACTCCCCAGAGCCTTCTCTTCTCCAGGATGAACAGCCCCAGCTCTCTCTGCCTTCCCTCATGCTGAAGATGCTTCATCATCTCTGTGACCTCGTGCTGGACTTTCTCCAAAAAGTTCACATCTTTTTTTGTCCTCAGGAGCCTGGAGCTGAACACAGCAGTGTAGATATGTCTCACCAGTGCCAAGCAGAGGTGAAAGGTCATCTCTCAACTGCTGCTCCTAAAGCAGTCCAAGATACTTTTGGACTTGGCAGGCCCCAGCTCCTCACTTCTCTCCCAGCTCCCCTAGATTTGAGCTCTCCTAAAAGTTTATCAAGTTTTCACATTGTTTAATGCTTTGAAAGCAGAAATTTATCCATTCACAGCAATGTTCCTTCTGCAGATTGCTTTAGTCACTGAAAATTCCTTACAAGTTCCAGTTACCATGAGGAGGAGTATTTTTCGTAAAAGGGCTGTAAACAGCATATAATGTGAACATTTTCACAGCAACACATCCCACCTCCCAAGACAGCATTTTAGCTGGCAGCTAAATGCTGTTACTTCTACATTTTTAGTCCTAAAGATGGCAGGGCATAAATCTGTGTATTATTAATTGTTGTGGCATATAAAGCAGTCAACATAACAATTTGTCAAAAGCAGTCTCATAAAGTATGCAGAATATGCATATAGCATGTGGACTATTAATAAGGAAGTCCCCTGCTGGTGAACAGGATCTTTCTTAGTATCATTATTACTGTGATAATAAAATTACCTTGATCAATGCTCTATTTTACCGGTGTGTTCTCTTGAGCACTCTTAATGGTACAATCAAATGTGTGCAGGTCAGCTGGTGATTTTTTTAATATAACTTTTCTTGCAATGAGGAGTAGAATCATAGCAAATTTTTGGAGATTAATTGCTATCCTCATTGGAAAAAAAAAAAAAAAAGTAGAATGAATGCAAGAATAGGCTGGTTTACACAGAGACATATTGACCTGCAAAAGCTTTTGTGCACATTCTGTTCTTGAGTTACAGAAACAAATTTAAGCCTATATTAGTGCATAAGAGGCAAAAACAAAGTAAAGTGAAAACTGGGGAGAATCAAAAAGTGCCAGAAGCAAAAACCACTTACTGATTATTTCCCTCTTGATCTGCCTAAGTGCTGAAGTCCGTTTAAGCTCGTTAGAGTTTCACCTGAACAAGGAGTACTTAAAAAAAAGTAAACTCAAATGGCTTTGTCCTTTCAGATACATCTGCCCTACTGCCAAGAAATACTGACATATCCCTGTTAGCTGTAAACAAGACAAACTCGCCAGCCACATAACCAGAGTCAGATAACTGGATCAATTGGTACCAGAGAAGTCCTGGTGCTTCTGCAGAGACCTGATTCAAGGACTTGCTGCAGGTACCAGATTCAGCATGTTTATGTTTATGTTTATTCTGAATGCAGAGAAGAACTGGGAGAAGGAGAGGCAATTTTCTATTCGGTTATAATATAAGATTATTTGGACATATTAAGCACAGTTCTGACTCAATGCATCCTCATATTTAAAAAAAGGTCATATTTTTAAGTCTTTTTCTGGGATCAAAATCCTGCATTGCACTTTGTTCAGACAGACAAATATTTTCAGGACAGACAAACCTCTGTGTTGTGCTTCCTCATGGGGGCTCAACTCTGTTTGTGAGGTTTTTTCTATATTCTATCTACTGCTCCTTTAAAGCCTTCATGGTCATTATTTTATTTCTTCCAGTTGTCATAAGTGGTCTCTTAAGTTCTTTTTTTCAGGCTAAGGGATAGTGTGGATTCATTTTGACATTTACTACTGTTGGTAAAGCCTTCAAGTTTCATTTTTAACTTGATCACTAAATGGGGGCTTGATCTGACTGACAGATCTGTTTAAGAGAATGGCTGTAGTAGATTGCAGTCCTTTCTGCTGTCGAGCTTAGTGAGACTCTTCCACAAAGAAAAAACCTTTGAAGCGGCTAATATAAAACAAAAAAAAAGTAACTTTTTTTTCCAGATGTATTATGCTCCTGTGTAAATGTACTAGGATCCTTCTGTGAAAATAAACCAAGAAAAAAATCCTGGAAAGCTTTTGAAGGTCTTACACAGTTTCAGCCTTAGGTGAAGTATTATAGGTATGCTGTAAATCTAATCACACAGGTTATAATGAAGATATTGGTTCATCCACAAAAATACAGAGTGTGATACTGTGTCCTTTTCTGATTTTGATCTAGTACACTGATGCACTTCATTTCATGCAGATTGATCAAAATCAATGTCTACCTCACAGATTCTTCATTTAATTCTGTTGTTCCAGAATACCTGCCCTCAGCTGAATCACTATGCAAGATAATATATGAAAAAGAAATAAATGGACTGTGGTCCAGATATTGCTTCAAGTGGCAAAATCTATGTTATTCCCTTTGTCTGAAGAAACTCACTATGTATTGGGTGATTACCTTTTTCCTTCTGCTTTAGTTGGCCGCTTAATTGAGGTCCTGTTTTACAATACTGAATAATGCATATCGATTCATAGCTTTCAAAAAAACTGCAAGAGTAAGATTGGCATCTGGTGGACTTGACAGATGCACGAGGAGCTCACAATGCTTTTCTGTCAGGCAATTCAGTCCCCAGAAAAGGAGACTGCATGACTAATGAGTTTTGCACCTCCTCTTCATGTGCTCATCTGCTTCCCCATTGATGTAATTTATGAGGCACTTCTGTGAGTCACAGTTAGCACACTGAAGTGGCAGCGCTTGGTGGCAGCCATTATAACAACCATAAAGCAAATAAAACAGGATTCAGGAAAGTGGGAAATGAAGTCTTGGCAGCAAAGAACACCTGTGTTCTGTTTATGCCATCGCTAAATATTTGCAATTCATTAAAGAGTCACAATCAGAGTTTGATAATGTATTTACATTCACAACTGCTTTTACAAACCAGAATTCTTGCATAATTGCTGGACTTCTGAAGAGCAGGTTTTGTTCATCTCTGCTAAATGAAAACTTTCATACCAGTTTGCTATGATGAAGTGAGTAGTTTATATGACATCACTTTAATAAAACTTTTGACACTCACACGACCATCTGCTAAAGAGAACAGGGATATTCCTGCACTGTCACAGGGAGACACTTCTGCAGTCCCTACAGACACATCTAGCCAAGCAGCAGATGGGGCTCAGAATAAACTTAATGTGTTTGAAATGCAGTTGTGTCACGAAGACACACTTGGAGCCGAGGACAGAAAGTCTTTGGTAACCCTCAGAAAACTGCTGCAGTCTACAAGGGTCAATAGGGAGCAATTTACTTGGTTCTTTGGAAGTGTATCAGTACAGGTACAGTACATCACAGTTTTTTCTGTGCAGTCCACTGGTGTTTGAGAAGAACAGAAACACTGTGTTTCATAAAAATAAAATAAAGCAGAGAAGACTGTGTTCAGTCAGGAACACAGATTTGATGTAGATTGAGACAAACAGGGATGTTATTGTACATAGGATTTATTCTGACAGAATATA